ACACTACAGAATTTTTGTGTAACATATTTCTTGGCTTACTAGGTTTATTTTATTCTTTTTCTAGGATTACCTGATTAATTATACTTGGTTTATAATCCAGTCTAATATGTTATGTACGAGATGTGTTATGAATTAAAATTACAAAAATTTGAACAACACGGTCTTGCGAGAATCTCGTTTAATTCAAGTGATGAAGTTAATGTTATTTTTTTCACACATTAATGAGATGGATGAGGCTGCCAATTCTTGCATAACTGTTCCATGTTTGAATTATGCTTGTAAGAAATATCATAGCCATAGTTCTTTAAATATCTCTCTTTATTCCTAAGATATGGAAAGTCCATAGCTAGGGTCACCGGAAATAAATTTCATAAAATGTTAGTTTTTCTAGGAAACGCTTTAAACCATTTCCATGCACAATGTCCAAATGCTGAGAATTTCAGCTATAATGTGGTATTCGCAATTAATTTGAATTTTCTTTTAGTCCTTTTGGGAAACCTACCAGAACTACAACGGCAGGCTTTGAGCATCATCTGTGGTCTGCGGTTCACAAGTTGACCTAGTTCGTTAATCAGTAAGTTAATCTAACGGTGAAAGAAAATGGAAGTTGTCGAATAGATCACACTAGCGCATAAAAGATTAAAAAATATTTTATTTCTGGCAGTGGAAAACATTTTTTTTTTCAATTGCTGATATTATTGTTGATAAATTCTGAGCATAAATATCCTAACGCTTTCCCGAATAGCCATATAATGCCTTTAAATTGCATTTGTTTATGATATGAATTTACTATGTCTTTGGCGATAAACGCTGTCAAAGTTGGTGATTAATCTCTGATCGCTGACAAAATTGACAAGCAGAACTTTACTTTTAATTACCAAAAATACTTTTCATGTTCCTCCGTAAAAACAGCTGTTACAAGTGTCACTTTACTAAATAATGTCGATAATTGTTAAACATCACAATTACCATCTGTATGAAATGTTATGCTTCGTTCTACGTAATATTTAATATGACAGGTAAATGCTTTTTCTTTTTTACTTCCTTGTACGAAGTAAAAAGGAAGTATTGTAATCGCGAAAAGTTTCAGTCATCATATTTCAACGCAAATATCCATTTATCCATTTTCACAGCTATCGAATGCAATTTAACGACGTTTTTGCGTGGCATCTGTATATAAGGACAGGATAAAGGACTCATCCCCCCCAAAAAAAAAATTGTAAAACTAATTTAAAATGAATTTTGAAGAGAATTTTTCGTGGCGTCTGTGCGTACGTATGTATCTCGCATAACTCAGAAACGAGTAGCCTCAGAATGTTGAAATTTTGTATATAGGACTGCTATAATATGTAGATGTGCACCTCGTATTTTGGTTGCAATCAGCCGCACCAAAAGTATATAAATATATGTATATATCCGCTCTGTTACTCGGCTCAGTGATCTGTTTTATTATTCTTGTATGTTTGTAAATTGTGCATTCTTGCTTTAAAAATGATTGAATTATGTTGTTCTTATCTTCCGGTTAAGGTTTTTATGCCTTTAGTAAATCTGTATGCAATATTTTTAGAATTATCAACAATTTAAAAGTTGTTTAAGTGCCGCTAAGCCTAATAATTTTTTCCATGGCGGCCATTGCTTGTTTACATTTGAAACAGCATAATAGTAGATTTGTTGCCAATCTAGAGAAAGTAAGCTTCGCAATAACAAAGATAACGACTTTTTTATCATTGCGAATTAAATCATGCTTAATCCATTCTGGAATTTCTTCGAGGAAATAAGTGTTTAAGATTTATTTCATAATTTTCAAAACAGACATTTTCAGTTTTTATGTACCTTTTGCCTTGTCACGTAGTGAGAACTGAATTAATTGAATGAGAAATACTGAATCATCTGTGAAAACCTTTTTCTTTTTGTAGCTAGTTGTTCTTTGCTTAATTCCTTGTACACATCGTTTTAGATTTATTATTGTATTTGAATAGAACATGTGGCAACGATTAGACAATTCTTAAGATGATATAAATTTTGTGCATTCTAAGTTAAAAAATGAATGAAATGTTGAAATGTAACGGTGTTACATGAACCTAGCGCCAGAGTGTCACTATGGTAAACAGAAATATAGTGAATTTTAAAGAGTGCATTTATTCTAGTGTGGTTTATGCGCTATCAAAGAGGTAGATTTAATTTAATTCATTAAGTTTAAATAAAATGGAATAAAAATGCGTATAATTAAATATTCCGTACAAGGAAGTCATGTGGTGCTCACATCAGATTTTTTTAAATATTGCGATGAAATGCCCAGCCGCAGTAAGATAGCTTCCCCGCAAGGCGGGTTTAGGTTTGCCAGCATACGTCAAGTAAGACAGGGCTGACATATGTGGCGCGTAATCGCTCATTTGGTGACAAAATTGTAGGAACGAATTCTTACCAGTTTGGCGCACACTGTTCTCGAAGGCAGGCCAAAAGCTATAATCCTTGTCTCTACACGGAATAGTAGTCCAGTGTCGAGTGTATCGCAAGTTGGTGCATCGTTGAGGCTATCGACTGTATAGTCGAGTGAATCCCGAGTTGTAGCGCGGAGAGTCTTGAGCGTACGTTGATTTCCGAAATCGACCAAACCGAGTCGGGAGCTGTACTTTAGTGCTTTGCCATGAAGCTGTCTTCACAGTTATAGCCTGAAGGCTGTGTTGCAGATTGTTTCAGCTTGTCCTAGTTTTTCCATGACTGTAAACGTGTTTTTGAAACTGTCCAGAGTAATACTGGCTAATACATTATGTTTTAATGCTTCATCAGGTGCTGTCCTCAATCACTCCAAGACGAATCCACGAACCCGTAAGAAACGCAAGAACTGGTGTCAGAAGTGGGATTTGTGAGTGGATGCCAGTGACCCGCCTACATTAAAAAGCTACGGCGGAGGAAATGAAGCTGATGGTCTTCTTAGCAGCTGTCAAAGTCGAAATGGAAGAGATCAAGGCCGAGATAAAAGCTGGATATGAAGAGGTGAGGGCTAAGATGAAAGCCGGACAAGAACAGCTGCGAAAGCAACTTCAACAGGTGAAAGTGGAACTTAAAAGGTGTGGAAATGATAGAAGTGGCATCTGAAGAATTAAAGGATGAAGAAACCAAGGAAGTTGCTGATGAATGAAACATCTAACGATATTAAAGAAAGAGAAGACGGGAAAGAAGCTTTTGATTCTTAAGTACTTGAAGTAGAAAGGGATGAATGTGAAAAATGCGACTGTTAAATTCGTAGCAACTGATAGAGGAGTTACGAAGTCGCAGTCAGCAAGTACTGAACCATCTGAAAATGCATGTGATGCAGAGATGACAGAAGCTGATGTACAGCTTAAGCAGAGTGTTCCAGTTTGGAAAGAAAATACTCCGACTTCACAAAATAAGTGTGTGTCTCATAATCCAAGTTGTAGAGACACAAACTTGATTCTAAACCAAGATACTTCTTTTTGTAAAGAATCTGATTCTGTTCATAACTGTAATGCAAAATTTGGAATTGATTCCCTGGAAATAGAAGAAAATAAGGCATGTACCAACTGCTAAAAATACCGAGGTGAACTGTACACATGATGAGAATAAACTACGGAGTGGTAACCAAACTGTTTCAGATCTTCCTGTGGATGAAAAGTTTGAAAGGACTGAATCTTTAAATTGTGATATGCAAAACAGAAATACATTTGAGAACTGCAGTGAAAACGTATTTAACCAGGGTATAAATTAATGAAAAGACTGAGGCTGAAATTCATTGTGCACTTTTAATTTGTATAATTTAAAATTGTTATGTGATTAATTTGTGTATAAAACTTGTACATAGCGTAAATATTTTTTTCTTTAGTTTTTATTACATTTTGTTTGTATCGAATTTGGCTTCTGACCAAGGATTGTACTGCCCGGTAAGTGCAGTCCTTGGGAGGGAGCAGTTTTACGAAATGCCCAGCCGTGATAAGATAGCTTCCCCGCAAGGCGGGTTTGGGGTTGCAGAAAATGGCAAGGGTAGGCAGGGTTGACATATTTCGCTATAGACGAATGGAGAACATTCTGGAACGAATTCTTACAGGTTTGGCTCAGAATGTTCTCGAAAGCAGGCCAAACGTTATATAAAACCCTGCCTGTACGCGGAGTAGCCGTCTAGTATCGAGTGTATCGCAAATTGGTGCATCGAGAAGTGTGCATCCTTGAGGCTATCGAGTGCATCGCGAGTTGTAGCGTGGAGTCTTGAGAGTACATTGAGTTCCAAAAACGACCGAACCGAGTCAAGAGCTGTACTCTAGTGTTTTTGCCGTGAAGCTGTCTTCACCGTTATAACCTGATAGCCTGAAGGCTGTGTTGCTGATTGTTTCAGCGTGTTTGTCATAGTTTTTCGAAAACTGTAAACGTATTTTTGGAGCTGTCATGTGTAATAATGGCTAATAAATTATGTTTTGATTCTTCATCAAATGTTGCCAATCACTCCAAATCCACGAACCCGTAAGACACGTAAAAATATGTTAAATATTGTTGATAATTTCTGATTCCCATGTACTTATGACATTATAATGAGCAGTAACGCGTCATTTTGGTGTTGGCGACAATTTTCAAAATTGCGCTAAGGGCGACCGTATGCTAGGATTTTACCGAAATCCCACAAGCATACCTTTTAAAACCGAGTTTAAGACAGCGATCACGGTTTATCTATCAGAACCGTTGAAATTTGAAATATAACAAAGCACATACGAAAACAGTGACGTTGGTCATCAAAACTGAAGAAATGTCACGCGCACGTGGTTGCCAAAGTTTGACGCATTCTTAAACTCTGATGATTAACCAAGTTGGTTTTGATAATATGTAAGTAGTACCTGAAAATCTGTGTAAATGCAATATTTAATAATGTGATATATTACTAGATCTGTTTTTTGATCATGGGAAAAATTGCAAGAACTTCAAATAAGATTTATTATTTAATTCCTCAATATTCAAATACAAAACAGAAGTACAAGAGAAAACAATAAATCAATGAGAATAAAAAAGAAACATTTAATTAAAAATTTCAACAAACTTTATACAACAGTAAAAGTTTCATCATTCAAATTATGAAAAGTTTGTACAGGACACCACTTGTTTCGAGAATCATTTTCCGTAAAAGGATCATTAGTAGAAACGTCCAGATTTTCCATTTCAGATGGCAGAACTAATCTATATGAATGCAGGAACATCCGATAAGGAGATATATCTTTTCTATTACTATATGTGTAATCACCTATGATGGTATGTCCGAGTTCATGACAATGAACACGAAGCTGATGACGGCGGCCAGTTATTAATTTCAGTAAAAGTTTTGATGCTGGACTGCCATTATAGAAACCATGTTGAAGAACTAATAATCTTGAAACTGCCCACCGTGGATTTATGCAATATTCTTTATCAGCTGTACACATGCAATGTGAATATTCTTGTCTAGAATCATAGCCAATTGGCTTGTCCACAATTAAATGCTCACTTTGAACATGGCCATATACTAAAGCTAAATAATATTTCTCCGATTTTTTAGAACTCATAGCTAGATAACTTTGCTTAGCAGCATTTTTATTTAAAGCAATGCACAACACACCGCTCGTAGAATAATCAAGTCGATGACAAAAGCGAAATCCAAACTTTACACTTGGGTCGGATAGAGCTTTAAATTTATGATTTAACTGAGTAGCTACAGTAACAGGATGTTGAACAGATGATTCAGAATTGATTGCTATGTCACATTGTTTGTTGACAACTAAGAAATTGTCACTTAAGTGCAAAATTTCTAAATCATCTACAATAACAGGTTTGCAACCCATTACGTAAACTTTCATAATATGTGATATCAGCCACCTTGAGTTTACTTCCAGTTTGTGAATTAGAGACATAGGAATGCAATAAGCTAGAAAAGAATTTTTACAGAATAAATATCCTAAATCGGATTTTCAATTTTAATTAAAGTATAAAACAACAACAAACGACCTTTAAAATTGATCCACATATATTATGAAAAATAATAAGTAAATTTATCATTGACATAGTTCTAACTATAAAATTTGTAAACCAAGACTAATTCCTGAATTTCCTTTTTTTGAAGTAATTTTTAAATCTAACACAGGTTCCTCAATGTAATTTGAAACCAGTGAAAATTTACCAAAATTTCTTTTTAATAGGTTAATAAAAATTTTAGTGTAATGTTAAACAGTTAGAAATAATATACAGCACCCACGAAGAAAAAAATAAAATAGGTTAAAACAAATTTTAAAAAAGACAATAGTTTTAAAAGTAATAAGATACATTGAAATCCTAAGAAAATTAATTTTATTTACTTTACATACCTATACAAATAATTATTTAAATGTTCCAGCTATTCTTATACATAGGATTTTGAAATTCATACATTACAAATAATTTTAGAGTGTAGCTAACTCATTATTTTTAACCCTGTGCACTTGAAAGGTGGTTCTTGACTGCCACTTGATTTGATCCGGTAACTCGAGAGGTGACTCGGTTTGATGCGATAATTCAAGCCGTAACGATGTTTATTTAGATTTGATTTGGCCGGTTGGTTGGTTGATTTTTAATGGCACAAAACCTTGATTAGGTTTGGTTTGAGCAATATCACTTCAAGAGTATATTCAGCAATACATGCGTATAAAACAAATGCTAATTTTTTAACTTAATTTTTTAAAGAAAAGATTTATTGTTATATATGCGTGTTTGTTGTTAGTTAGAACTCGAAAGTCGTGGCAATAGGAATATTATTACGGAACTCAATAAGCATGGAATACAATGAAGGAATCAGTTCGAGTGAAGATGAGTTCCATTTTTCGTTGATGAAGAACGAAATTACGTCTGTGCATAGATATCTTGACCATAGAGAGGAGGACAGCATACTGATTATAGAGATGAAGTAAGAGGTGTTATGAAGGGAAAAATTCAGGTTAACAGATAATGAATGTGAAAGCTACAATGATTCCGCAGAAGACACAAAAAATTCAGAATATATAATGAGCACAGAATCCGAAGACATACCGCAAACAATACAGTTTGTAAACGGCGAAACAGCCGCAAGGCCACAGTTTCTTCAGATAATAAAAGAACCATTAGATTTCTTGAATTGTGTATGGGTGAATTTCCTAAATTCACCAAATATGCGGAAAATCGTCCCGAGTTGCTGGTTCGCCCCTAGCGAAAAAGACCTCGAGTGCAAACGGTTAACTTTGGTACTCTATCCTCTTCTGAGATTTTGATCTATTGCAACAGAAAGTTCATGCACTTTCATTTCTGTTAAATACATTCTGCGAAAATATTTTGGCAGAATATTTTTGCTCTCTGAAGAAATTAGTCAAGTCTAAAAAAATACATAGAATCTTTCTTGTTAGTAAATATATGTCAATATTAGGATCTTTGTTGTTAGTAAATATATGCCAATCTTAGGACAACAAATTTAAATTTTAAATTAAGGTGCTTTTCTTCTTCATATCATTTGCATTTATTTCGGGAATATAAAATATTATCTACTCAGCAATTTCTTCTGCATATTTATTTTCAATGTTAAATATATTTTATTAACTTTTCAGCATTTAAATCTTTTTAAAAACATTAAAACTATGTCCATAATATATTTTTCAGCCCCTATTACTACTACTCAGTAGCTAGAATAATTAACTCAAATCTGAAAGAACTGAAATTCAATTCCAAACAGATGCCAATATTGCCAGTTTACATTATATTAACTTTGGAAACTAATTAAAAATTTTTTAGATCATAAAAAAATAAAGATTTCAAACTAAGGTTTACTCACTAATTTTTTATGACAAGAATATGGTACTTTCCGATTCTTCATATTTCTACAAAAAATCGCTTAATAATGACTTACTGACAAAAAACATTTGCTTGGATATCATTACAACACATATGTACTGTTCTCGTCATAAATAATAGCAAAAAGAAACACATAATAAAAAACAAAAAATCTGAGAGAAAACAAAAATTTAATTTTTACATTTTCACAGTAGGTGATATTTCTGCCTTTAAAATTGCTATGAAACAATCTCATGCCCATTCTACTTGTATAATATGTATGTGAGAAGCCTCGGTGTGAATAGGCTGTGTGTACTCAAAAGTATTTCATAAAACGGCAATTCTACTCAAAGTTGAAACCGGGAGTATGGAAAATCAGGAAGTACCAAAAGTATGAATAAAATGGAGTAATCTGCATTCTGAAAATTTGTCTTATTGAAACGTCTGTCTGCTATTTGAAATTTCACTTATTAGTGATTTTTCATTTTCTTTTTTTCACATGTGCTGCAAGAAGAGACTTTTTACATTTCAGTCTACATATGTATTCTCAAAGCACCCCTATTTTTAACATTAAGCACATAAAAATAAAATGCAAATGTTAGTAACTATTTACGTTTGTATGCCATATGATTATCCATAAAGAGATGAATTAACTTAGGAAGGAGAGGAAACTATTCTGATGTTTAGTTCAAACATTAAAAAAAAAGTATTTTCAAGACTCAGTACACTTAGATTTTCAAAAGCAATGATCATTAGAATTATCTGGATTAACCCATAAGATATGACACACAAACAGAATAAAATTTTGTTATATGTTCTGGCTAATGAAAGCAAATACATGGAGTTGATCCCAACTGAGAAGCCTCCATATCAAGCAGGAGGTGAGCAAGACAGTGAAAATCACTTCAGAGAAAGGCTACAACGAATTCCTTTATGTTACTAGCTGGAAGTCTCAATCTTGGAAAGGAGGCTCATACAAAAACAGAACTCTTTCATAGATCCCCATTGCTGAACGGGCTCAGGTACACAGAAACGATGATGGAGCAGATAACAGTGATTATGATACCATGTTCTTGGCTGTCAGGTTACCTACTCGGACAGGCAAAGGCACTAGAATTTGGGACAGAATAAGCTGCTCTTTCTGCTGTCATAGTATGAAGCTAAGACACTGTATGCAACCCCAGAGAAAAGAGATACTTGATCTTACTTCTTTCTATATAAGTATCAAATTTGAACAAATGCTAAATTGCACCTATCAAGCATATCAGCAAACTTTTTATTTCAGTTTTCACATGTGTGTGATGTAAAACATTTTGAAATCAATTACAGTCATTTGAATATTTACAAACTTCATTATTAATGAACATTCATTAAACAAAATTATTTCACTTTTCCAGTGAAATAATAAAGAATGCTGAGTAGATTATGCTTCTCTTAAAGTATACAATGGGCCCACAGAAGTACTTATCCAACCTTTATTTGTGCAACTGTTGATCATAGCTATATACTTCTAATTACAAAATATTTGAAATGATACAGATTCCTGTTTTCATATTTCTAAATTTAAAAAAAAGGTATCAAAAATTAAATCTTAACTTCCTACACATTTCTCTGATAACTCTACTTATATTTAGGCACAAAAATTTACGTATACATAAATCGCCAAATATTAAACCCTAAATAACGTAGTTTTTCGTAAAGAATTATTTTTACTTACAAAACTTTTTGGTACTTACTGTACCTAACAGAAGCGCCGTTACCCTCATGGAAAAAATTTGCGAAACTATCAAGGAAGGAAGCATCATTTATTCGGATTGCTGGAAAGGATACAATACAAGTGAGTTCGAAAATGCTGGATTTCTGCATGGAACTGTTAATCACAAATATAACTTTGTGGATCCCAACACGGGCGTTCACACACAACATGTAGAGCGCATGTGGGGCTCAGCCAAATGGCGCAACAAAAAACAGAGAGGAACAGCCCGTCATCATCTTGACTCATACCTTATCGAATTTATATGGTGCCAAGCTCAAGCTGTTAATGGCGAAGACGGTTTTCAATCAGTGTTAAAAGCAATAGCCAAAAAGATTTCCGCCGAAAAAATAATTCTGCAACTTATTCAAATTCGAAACCGGAAGGGTTTAATTGCTGTATTAAAAATTATCTGTAATTAATAAATGTACATTTTCTTTCTATTCATACTTTTTACTCAAACTTACAAATTGCGCCAACCTGGTTGCGATAATACGTAAGTACCCACAAAACATCTGATTTCTGTATAATAAATTTTGAATTTGTACTGAGGGATCAGTTAACAAATAATTTAAGACTAGTTTGAGATTGATTTTTTCTCCTCTTAAATGCCATTCAGTTAAACTGTTTGTAACCTACTGTTCATAATTTTGCTACATTTGGCATTGCAAAAGAATTTTCATACAAATAATTTATGAGTTTTTTTCAAAGTGTAAAAATATGTTATTAATAGATTTTATGAAGTACTTTAGACTCATAATCTGGTAATTGTAAACCTTTTAATTTGAATTATAAACATAATTCAAATTAAAAGGAATAATATTACAAATTGGCTGTGTGCCAATACTGAAACCTGCCAGTGTTTCCCAAAACACTAATTCTATTAGATTGTATGAAGTTTAAGGCGATCAATATTTTTCACAATAATCTGCATAAAAATATTTATTACTTAATCTCTTAACATCAGAAATCTTTCTTTTAATTGATATTTTATCTTTAGTTGCATACACATGCAAATATTTTGCTCTTCAACTTGTGTATGGCACCTGGAATAATCACCAATTTTTAATATCAAATATCTCGGTCAATATTTTTGTAAGGGAATCAATATTTTGTGTTTTATGATGCGTACAAAATTTTCCAAAATATAGGGGCCGGAAGGATTTGTAAAAATTTAGATTTTTTAATTTTTATAAAACTGAGTTCTTTAAGTTTAAAAAATGCAAAAATGTTAATCTTTACAGCATTTAAAATATTTTTCCAACTGGAAGTATATATTTATGACCAGTGGAACTTATGTAATGGTTGGGTAAGGACTTGATGTAGACACTGTGTATGTCTTA